GGCATCTCCAAATTTTATTCTCCACGACCAAAAAGGGTAAAAAAAAAAGTCCCGAGCACGAGGTGTGCGCATGCATATATTGAGTCAATTTTCAGTTGCTTTTAACGGCAATAACAAATGCCCCAAAGAAGACAATTACTGAAGACGACCTCAAGCGCATCTACCTCTTCTGCACTCCACAGAACGATTGCTTTCTGCGCCGTTGCGAAAAGTGCCCAAAAACGCAGAGCATCTCGCTGCAGTCGCTTCATCTCGACGAAGACGAAGAGATCTGTTTCGCGTTATGGGACGCTGGCAAACTCGTCAAAAAGGTTATGGACACTTCTGCCTTCCTGCGGCAATAGGAGAGCGAAAAGTATATGAGGCATTCTTACATCCTTGACCTTGAACGAAGCCTGATACATGACACAGGAACCGCCTTACCACCCAAGGCAGTGATGTTCCACTTCGATTTTGCGGAAAAATGGACAGTACTCTTTCCAACCGAAGTGCAGAGTTTTCATTGAAAAAAAACTCAAGTGTTTCTCTCCACAAGTGTGGTTACGTCCACGCAAGGCACGCAAAGCTTTGCCGTTGTCACCGATGGTACACGACACATGACACAGCTCACGCTCTTCTAGCCACAAAGGCCATAGAAGAGTATGTTAATGTTTATTTTCCAGTCTTTTTTGAAATAATTTTTGTATCAGACGGAGCGGCGGCGCATTTCAAGAATCGCTTCCAATTCCACGAATTGTCTCGGAAGCCGCACTCTTCGGCAAGATAGATCTTTTCAGCCACTGGACACGGAGAAAGCGCTTGTGATGAAGTAGGTGGAAGAACCAACGCTCACCAAGTTGAGATCTTCGCTCAACTCAACGATTGCCACCGCTAAAGACTTTGTGGAAGTGCTACGTAAGAAAGTAAGAAATGCCTGCATGTTCCACCTGTCTGTGGAACGGGTTCGAGAGTTTCGTGCGGTAAAGCAAGCAGAGTGGACCACCATTGAATTGTAAGCTAATTAATGGTATTCCAGCTCAAAGTTCATTTTCGCGTCACTAATACTCAGCCCTTATGAAAAAAAGAATTTTAATAATATAAAATACATGCCATAACTAACGCTCAAAACGTTTGGTGCTGTGCGGCAAAGCCGCTATAACGAAGACGTCGGCTCGCTCCGAGTGAAGGTTTGTCGTAGCTTTTCCCGCTTGGAGATCATATGTTACTCTATCTTTTGCCATCAGAGGTTAGTTCAAGTCACTGCAAAGTGCCAAGGGGAGTTTAAAGAAAATAAAAGATGGAGTTTTTTAAATATCGACGCCCAATCTTGCCACATTTTGAGAAATCAGCCGAATTTCCGCGTTGATAACAAAAATATGTTTAAGGGTGGGCATATTATCTTTATATATTCGTAAAGAATATTTAAATATACGCGCATTTTGATATGTTTTGTGAAGTATTATGAAAGATGGTTTATTTGCAAAAAAATTGTGAATATGTCTCTAAAACGCGTTTTTGTGCCATGTTTGATATTTTTGTTTGCATTGAAATATTTTATGGATATTTTTAATTTTTTATGTATCTGTTGTATAACCTTTGTAAAACCTATTAAAAAAGTTATGGTGCCGTGAAAGTTTCGATAAGGAAATGACGACTGTGTAAAGTACCATTGCCAAATCTTCTCGATTTCCACGCCTCAAGCTTCTTATTTTATATCTCAGCAAAAAAAAATTGTTACGGCGTTGATATCTAGCTGAATGTTCCTCCCAAAAACATGGCTTTCATATATATTTTTAACAAAAATATCTAAAATATGACCCGGATCATCATTGCATGAATTGACGTGGAATCACCCAGCAGCAGCGAGAGCAAGAAAAAAATTGAAAGCCGCTCTTATTGAGAATTTATTACAAGCACTAGGAAGCCGTGGAGTATTCTTAAAACGCTTCTAAAGCTGAACTAGCGTACAAATTATGTGCTAGTGCCTCAAAAATAAAAAAACAAACAATTTAAGTATAATTAATAAGGATAAAAATATACACCAGGAGGACTTCAACCAGAACAACACAGTCTGTAAATTTGAAATTTGACACCATAAACCGCTTGGCCACCACCCAATTTTATTTTTAGGTCGTTTATCGCGGTATATGAATTTTGTTTGCAGCTGTCGGCTGCAAGAGAGATAGCCTTATTTTCATTTACTTTACTATTCCCACCAAATATGGCAAGTGACCAAGAATAGAACCTCATTTGTCGGCCGAGGCACTGTGCTTGCATCAAGGCAAACTAGCTTGGCTTGGTAGGCTTATATTTTGTTTCATCACCCGTTTAGGATTCTGTTGTCGCTCATCAAAAGAAAAAAAAACTGACTAAGTCTGACTTATTCTGGTGTGCAGGTACCCTTGGCAGTAAACTCTGCTAAATGGGGCAAAATATATATTATACATTTTTTAGCAAATATGCATTGTTTTAGCAAAATGAGCTACACTATTTGACTAAGGTGAAACAGAACAAGCCTTTCCACCTGGGTCTGTTTCCATCTTTCGCAGACACTATTTCCTGGTTTTTGTGGTTTGTATCAGACTTTTGTGTCTCTGACCGGCAAAAGCATCTGTGTTAGACTCAGACTGGTTTTTTAGGATATGTGCAGGTATTCTTCGCAGCAAATGGCTGCCAATCATGAACACGAGTTTGTTCTCGGCCACCAAGAGCAAGTATTTTCAAGGTGAGCTATTGCCTGCCTATATTTTATTTATTTATTTGGTGATACTGCCAGCATTCTGTGGAACGCCCAGGCAGGAGGTGTACAGAAACAATATTCAAAGACAAGCGGTAGTACAAACAAGCAGACAGCGCCACTACTCAACAAAGTGCGAGAGTAGTGCTTCAATAAAAGCATCTAATGATCTCAAATCAAAACACTTTCAAGAAGCTTATTCCACTCACACGTGGTTCTAGGAAAAAAGGATGCTTTGAACAAAGTGGTTCCACACAATGGTTCGAAAAGTGTTAATTGGTGTTTGCCTCTCATGGGCCTGGTTTCGTTAAATGAAGTGTAATCACAGAGACGCAGTCGCAAATTACCCTGTATCATATTATAAAGAAACTTCAGCCGTCCTGTTTTTCTCTGGGTTGCTAAATCACTCAATCCCGATCTTGGGTACAAATCTGAAACTGATGACATAAAACCATAATGGTTGTACACAAACTGCAATGCTTTTTTTTTGCACAGTCTCTAACATATCGATTGACAGCTTTGTATGAGGGTCCCATACAATACATGCATATTCTAGCATTGGTCTTATGATGGTTTTATAAGCAGTCAGTTTAGTTTCAGGTGAACACAGGTTAATATTTCGTCTTAAAAACCAGAGCTTCCTCATTGCTTTACGAGCTATAAACTCAATATGTGCACTCCATGACAAATCAGAGGTAATTAAAGCTCCGAGGTATTGATATTGGTTAACAGTATCGAGTGGTACTCATTTGATAGAATATGTAAAAAAACAAAGGGTTGTTCTTCCGCGTCAAGGCCATTTGAACACACTTTTTACAGATAAGAACCATATTCCATTTTATGCACAATGCATGAACCAAAGATAGACATTAATTTAATTCTTCTTGATCAGACGGGTTGTTTACCTTAGCAAATAAAACACAATCGTCAGCAAAAAATCGGCTTTGTACATTGGGGTGGTGTATCTTTAAATCGTTAATAAAAATTAAAAACAAAAGTGGCCCAAGGACCGAGCCCAGGGGCTCGCCCGAGAAAACGGGTGACTCGGGGGGGAAAAAACAGTCAACACTAACACACTGCGTTTAGTGTTTCATTCCCCTTGGATGCCATTTCCTATGTGTAGTGGTCTTGCATTAGTATTTTTTGTCTCCCTTCTGCAAAAACACCCAAGTTTAATTAAGACCGGGTTCTTTCTTATACATGCAGGTCTTGGTGGCAAGCACGAGCCAATCAAGGCCAGAAGTTTGCTCTTTGCCGCTCATCGCAAGTGTTTTCAAGGTGAGTGAATGATGCCTATCTGAGTTGCGTGTTTTATTCCTCACAGACACTCTATTTCCGGTCTTTATAATGGTCTTGTGTCAGGCTTTTGTGTCTCTGTCTGGCCAAAGCATCTGTATTAGACTAAGACTGGGTTCTTTAGGATATGTGCAGGTATCCTTCGCAGCAAATGGCTGCCAATCAGAAACACGAGTTTGTTCTCGGCCACCAAGAGCAAGTATTTTCAAGGCGAGCTATTGCCCGCCTATATCAGTAATGTGATCCCTTAGCAAAAAGAGGCTATGTTTGAAATGAATTTTGAATGCATTTAATACATGTATTAAGTTTGTATTTATTCTAAATTTTTTTGTCCGCATTCAGAATTCATTTCTAATCTGTATAAATTATATCTTGAGTAGAAATTGCAAATGCATTAGAAATATGTTCAAAATGTATGTTACATATATTTTATTTGTGTTCGCATTAGCTTTTAAATGCATTTTTATTTTGTTTTAACTATGCTTGCAGGCACATATAAAATATGTTTTGATCACATTTTTATTGTATACACAGTTAAATTAAAAAGATATTTTAATTGTGTTTCAAATGAAGAGCAATGATAATATTAACATATTTAAATTGTGTTTTAAATGTAATAGCGGTGATAACTAAAATATATTTTTATTGTGTTTTAGATGTAATAGCAGTAACACATGAAATAAATTGTAATTATATTCGAAATGTGTTAACAATAATATTTAGAATGCATTCTAAATATCTTTCAAGTGTATCTCGAGCACAAGCGTAAAATATATTTCGAATGTGTTACTAGAGAGCATTAATAATGCACTTTAATAGTAAAAAATGAATTTCATTGATGTTCTTTGAAGCTAGTAGTTGACAAGCACTATTTGCTTTTCACTTACCAGCTTCAAAATTTTTAGTCATTACCCAATTCACTAAAGCTTTAACTTTTTAACACAAACAAGGGATACCTCCGAGCGCTACAATCACAACATCACACAGATTCATAATTGCAATCTTGATTTTATTCAGTGTACTGAACAATTATACAATAACACTGCAACAGCACTGAAGGATGAATGTTTGTTCAGCCACCTCCATTCTTCTTCAGTGCTGTTGCAGCATTATTACACTTGCGTCTCAGGAAACCCCTGACGTCCGACTCTGTCAGGTTGGAAAACTTTGTCAGCACGTGGACTGAAACAAAGAAAACAAGCAAAAAATGTGAAAGATAAAAGCTTTTGTTCCTAAAATCAATGTTATCAATCACTTGAAAAATATGTTAAGTTTTCCTCTTGCCTCCACAATGAAAACATAAAAAAGGATGCGCAAATATATGACCAACAGTGCCTTCTGCTTAGAATATTATTTCATATTCTCACAATCTTATATAGAGGGTCAGTGATGGTGATGGCCAACATTTAATAATGAATGTGAGCATAAAATTAATAAAAGAAAGCATATGCTTGAACAACCCATCTTCCGAGTAGACACCCTTTTACGTTTGGGATACATCAATCCTCACAGTCGAGTTGTTCTAGAAAGTTTCATCAAGCATAACATTAATCGACAAAAGCTACAAGCCACTTGCTGGGCACAAGCACCCTTACCAATGATGTCGTCCACGGTACTTTTGTCCAGGGCTTCTTTGCCCGCCGTGGACCCCCTCAGGCAACACCGTCCCAAAGTCTCGTTGCCAAAAACCATTTCAGCAAGCTCTTGCATGTACACCGAAGGAGCCGTGCTGTTAAGCCGCACCATCCGGATGGCTGGGAACATGGTGATGCCGAACTTTAGCTGCAGTAGAAAGGAGACAAACAAAAACAAGTCATACGAATACACTTCAAAATTCTCAATAAAAATGGTCTTAATCCTATATTGCAAGTCAGCAACAAGCCTAAATGTCAAATCCATATGGTTATCAGAACAGCACTAAAAGCTATGCCATGTAATCCGCACGTCACAAAGCAAGCAGACACCAGGGCCCGTTTGCTCGAAGCACTAACTGCGGCTAAAGTTAGCCACAGTACCTAGGAGAGGGATTTTGAAATCACGTGACTGGCTCCGTAGGGATGCGGGGAAACATGGCGGTGCCCCGATCAGTGAGCGCCGCTCGCTTTAAAACTAATACATCATTGTAGCTGCAATATCGGGCGCGTTAGTCAGCAACGAATGGTGCAGGAGGCTTTCGCTGTGCCTTACCTCATTTAAATCGCAAAGCATGAGCAATCACCTCGCCACATTTTTTAGATACTCTTTCGATTCTGGCCATTCCTAAGCCCAAATGAACGCGATAATTGTCGGCATGGCAACGTGTTTGGAAAGTGGATTGCCTTGACTCAATCGGCCCGGTATTCATAGCACACAAAAGCAGACAGCGTCTCAATAGACCTTTTTCTAAATTTCCCAAGCACCGAGGTGTATGCTACAAGTGTACTTACACGCGTTGCACGTGCTGGCGTCTGCAGTAATAATTGGTCTAAAGCAAAAAGTCTAAAACAAATTTTGCCTTGCACGCGCGTTCGTCAAAGCCTTACGATTATTTACTTCGAATCTTTTATAAGAGGAAAGTCCAGCGGACGCGGACCGTGGAATTACACTTCCAGCGTTCTCCACGATGCTTGGGTAATTTAGAAAAAGGTCTATTGGGACGCTGTCTGCTTTTGTGTGCTATCAATACCCAGCCGATTGAGTCAAGGCAATCCACTTTCCAAAGACGTTGCCGTGCCGACAATTATCACGTTCATTTTGGCTTAGGAATGGCCAGAATCGAAAGACAATCTAAAAAATGTGGCGATGTGATTGCTCATGCTATGCGATTTAAGTGAGGTAGGACAAAGCGAAAGCCTCCTGCACCATTCGTTGCTGACTAACGCGCCAGATATTGCAGCTACAACGATATATTAGTTCCAAAGCAAGCGGCGCTCACTGACCGGGGCCCCGCTATGTTTCCCCGCAGCCCCACCGAGCCAGTCATGTGATTTCAAAATCCCTGTCCTAGGTACTGTGGCTAACTTTTGCCGCGGTTAGCGCTTCGAAGAAACGAGCCCAGGACTTTATTACTTGATGCACACATCTACCCAGTACAGCAAGAGATTAATAAATCAAAATATGTAAGTCATTATTTAATAGCTCACTTGGGCTGCTGTACTAAGGTTTGCCACCCTTCCTAGGCAAAAAGACCGGCAGCATGGGAGAGGGTCGCACGTCATTAAAGGGGTAGTACAACAATTTAAATGTTGAAAAAAGTGGCAGTTGCATTTTTTTATATTGTTTATCCAAGCACAAGTGACCAAAAACGTGTCACCTTGCCCCGAAAAATTGCCATTCCGTTTCATAATCGCAAATAAAAAAAGAAAGTATTTGCCGATCTGCAGCCGCATGTGGCGGTTACGGGAACTCAAATGAGAGCATCTCTGGGGGTTACGCGGAAGTCAACAAAACCTGTCCCCCTCCGCTGCTACACTCGCCATCAGCCCCGTGGCGAACCGTCCTTTGTGTCGATCGCTCACGGCGACCTTCGACGATGCTTATCCTTTAAAAGGCGGCAATCGCGGAAGAAGCGGCTCGAGTCTCTGAAGAGAGGACCCAAGGGGAAATCACATGATCCCCCAGACTATGTCACTCAAAAGGCGATGTGGAGACTTGAGAGGCACTTTGACCTTCAATTTGTTTCATTTTTTTAAATAAAAACTAGCGCTCGCAAGAAAATATGGTTTTGTGTTCTTCAATCCACAGGTGGCACAGATTAATTTCCGCAGTCAATTGGCCAAAATCCAAAAATCGTTGCATTGCCCCTTTAAGAGTGCAGCCGACACTACCACCTTAAGGGACCAATCAAGTAGTTCCAAAGGAGCGACGTCAGGGTGCTTTTCACCCTTCTCTGCTTCAGTTACCACCAACTAATCATATGTGCAGAGTTGCTTGTGACCTCACACCTTTAGCCTGTGTACAGAGTTGTCTCATAGCCTGACTGCACTTGCAGTGAAAGGGACTTTTTCCTTTGGCATGCGATTTTCAGTTGGAAGTCCAAATGAGTCAAAATAAAGACCAATGGTCTCAACGCACTGGGTTTGTCTTTTGACATATTTAGGCTGAAGGGGAGCAGGGAACGTTTTGCACTGCTTCAACAGAAAACAAAATGCAGCAAAAGAGCCGACAATGGTGTCCATTTACGCACTAGTACAGCCAGTGTGCCACCCAAACTATACGGCGAGCAAGTTAGTCAGCTCTTCATGCACCTCATGCTCTTATTTAACCCAGACGAGCTGACGTACTGTTATTTACCCCTTGTTTCAACCAATCACGGCACATGCTTTTCTGCCTCGTCATAGCGCGTTCTGTGTGCGTCCTTTATGTTGCCCGCTGATTGGCGTTACTTTTTTGTATTTACTTCGTTACGATGGCTCCTCTTAACGTTGGTATGCGCAGAAGACACGTTTTGGTACAGTTGCATGCCGTATAGATGCTTCGACCAGTGGCATCTAGTGTCTCACATCTTTGCTGCATGGGGTACACGCATGCGTTAAGATCAGCGCCCCAGACTTCCCAAAACAGACTACCCAGAACAGACAATCGGGCCAGGCGTGCTGCATTTGCCAGGGTCATATTGTGGCATTGCTGTCATTAACGGCTCGACACAGGTGCTATGATTCTCAAACAAGCCCTCCAAGGACGAACTGTAGAGGCTAAAAACAGAGTTTATGGCAGATCCAAACCATGCTTTGACACTAGAGAAATTTAAAAAAAAAAGCGGCTACTAACTATGCTCCACTACTGAATTTTGACTGTATGAAATGATTTTTAAGAGCATAGTGAAAAAATATTAAAAAAGGGTGGAGTTCTCGATTCTCAAGGGCATAGTAAAAAAGTATTAAAAAAGGGTGGAGTTCTCAACAGGCTGGAAAGCATCTGAGACCACCTGCTTTGGGTTGTCATCCCAATTCATTGTAAAGTCAAGAAAGAAAAATGAGATGACGCAATAATTCGAAAGTGCCAAATCGTGCAGAGTGAACATGTATTTTTTCATAAAGATGCCTTCTTCCAATACATTGTTTCAGTTATCAATCTATCACCTATCCCATTTCACCAGTACAAAATATCTGCTATAGTACATTGCATAATGTGCCCCCAATATGTGCTGATTTTTCTAAAACTCTCTACTTGCATTAGGATAAATATGGTCATCTAGACTTACAGAAGCACCACCAGCCTCAGCTGCCCCAGCATTCACCACTGCAGGACCAGCTGCCATTCTTGACTTCATGTCCTCAAAGAGGCCTGGCATTCCTGCAAAACAAAAGGATAGTGTGATATTGAGGGTTCCCAATTGATACCGGAAATGCTTTTCAGCACTGGGGCAATGATGCAGTGGAGAAGCTTACCGACCTTGAAAACTCTAATAAGCATACTAGAAAATGTCTTGAACACCCATCATTGACATGAAGTTGAACGCGGTACCGTCGACCGCACAATAGGGTCTATTCACCTGTAGCTCGCGAGTGGTGCGCCCTGGGTATGCCAACATCTTTGTGTCTGTGACAGCTGCCTGCTGTTCTCGTACCGTCTGCATTAGGCAGTGACTGCTGGTAGTTTATGCGGCTGTGCAGTTTCCAGCAAATATGGTGTTATATGCTATCCTTGGCTCCCACACTAACAAGCGGTGCGGAGGCGGCAGAAAGACTAGCAACATTGGGGACTCCCAGCGCTCCAAGAGCCAGAGCGTGCGAGCCTAGGGATGCGGCAAGACGCGATAGCTGTACTCGAGGACACAACGCAAACAACTCTCGATGATCAGCTGAAAGGACCTTGACACCGCTCGACAAAACTTAGTCTAGGTAAGTGCGGGCGCATTTTGCCTTTACCCAACATTAGTTTTACTTGGCATGTCGCATCTGCAAGCTACGCCTGCTTGAAGCCGAAGTTCAATGACACTTTCCAAGGGACGCGAGCACAAGTGTTTCTACATCTGTAGCAGTGGCAAAATGGCATTGACAGGAATTTACATTCATAGGCAGATACTTTTTGCTTCCATCAACATGGAAGCCCTTGGCATTTATGAGCCCCTTGGCTCTGTGGAAATGTCAACAGCCTATTGGCCACAACTCGTATTGTGCTTGTCAAAAGCGCGTGAGTGCATGAAATGCTCAATGGGTTTCCAATCGAGGGGTTACAGTCATCAAAATGGCTTGCACAACCACCTGCACGGCGCAGCAAGCTGCTTAAGGGGGCTCGGAACAGAAAACATGTAACGGTTGTTGACACCTCCATGGAAGCAAACACTTACAAATGGAGACCAGCCTTGTGTGAGGCAAAAGGCTGCGTGGCAGTGTGGGCCCACAAACAAAAAATTGTGTCAATGCCATTCTGTTGCAATTACAGCAGTAGAAAAACATGCATTTGTGCCTTTTGGGAAATGTCACTGAACTCCTTCGGTTGCGAGTGGTGACTCGCGACACGTGAAGTCAAAATTATGCATGGTAACGACAAAATGTTCCTGCACCTACCTGAGATAAAGTATTGTGAGCATACCAAGTACCTGTTGAGATCGGCGGCGAGAACTTTCTCGGCGATTAGCAAGAGCGATTCGCCTTGACTCAAAGCAGCAAGCAACCGCGTCTTGTTGCATTCTTGGGAGTGCACACTCCGGATCTCAAAAAACAAAGAGTCCCCGACATTGCTATTCTCTTTCTGTCCTTTGTGGTGCAGCAAACGCATGATACCACATTTGCTAGAAACCGCACAGCCGCTGAACTGCCAGTAACAGCTGCGTATTGCGACCAGTATGCCAGCGGCGATACGACTGGCACGGACACAGATGGCAGCGTACCCAGTGTGCCCCACTTGCAAGCCGCAGGTGAATAGACCCTATACTATCAGCACCATGATGCGGTGGCTGTGACTGCTTGCACACCTCGTCGCATTCTTCGCTGACATTAAGCTCTTATGCTGAACGCTGTTCTCAGCTCTACTTCTACCTTCCACAGAAAGCGTGAAAGTGGATTTCCATTTCAGCACCGCTTTCTGTCAGCACAATGCCATGTCATTGACGGAAAATGCTTTGCAGTTTGCATGTGAAATAATGTCAACAGTGCTTAGCATGATTATCAGTGAGTCAAATGCTTTCTGAATTCATCAATAAACACCAATAGTAATAAATTGTGAAAATGGGAAAAACCCAAGCAATCAATGAATGTTAATAACAGTAATAACTGTAAAATGGACAGTGATTAAGCAATGAATGTTTCTACAAAAGAAAAAATTTTGGGCACCTTATGACAAATGCCGCCTCGAGTTTTCAGAGGTGAGTGTGTCCGGATGAATTGAAAGAAATGCTTTTGTATTTTTTTTTAAGTTTTTTTTTTTATAAAGTAACCACAGTGCCCCACGATAACGTCTGAAAGGCTCCTCCCCCATCCTCGCACTTTCTGCAGGGAGTAGTAACAGAGCTGAGAACAGCGTTCAATCCAAGCACCTACCCTTGGCAAAGCACATGAAAAGGCGTGCAAGCCGCCACGGCCAGCCTTTCATGGCATTCATAGTATGGGGCGGTCAACGATTCCGCGTTCACTGCCATCTTAATGATAGCCATCCAACTGATGATGACTGGATGGCGGAGATCTGCTAAAGTGAGCTCCAAAACCGGGAAAAAGCTCAACTTACGAATAGGGACTATGAGAACACATTGGGGCCTCGGAGAAGCCCCGAAGGTGTTTGGGTGAACCCAGTTAGAGACCCTGTGCATTAGGTAAATCAACTATGTTACCACTGCATTGTGTACATACTTATAGAAAGTACAAGGTGGAGACATTTGAGATTTCAAAATATGGCATAGCATATGTAAATTGTTCCTTGCACATACAAAATTTTACTTGCACATGGCGACTGTTGGCACCAGACTCGGCATGTATCTGATGTTCCGGTCACAATTTCAATACACTGACTGAATAAATAATCACGGAAATACCTTATTTGGTGTCTGTATACATATACATTCATTTTGTGCCAAATGGTACTATGTCAATAATTTATTTGCATGCAGTAACTTCGGTACTACATGGACTGTTTCTCAGTGTTGCCTTTTTACAAAACCTGCTGCTGTTGTCAGGCAGGATTATGACTGATGTGATGAGACAAAGGAGGCTCATGATTCACATCTGCCTTTGCACGCAGGTGTGGCAGACATACTATCCGCCAGCTATTCTGAGCTCTATTAATGTTAGGAGCACAGCATGGATGTGCTCTGTGCATTACCAATTCCAGAATGGCAGCCTACAACTGGCACCAGATAGTGAGGACACTTATTCTGGCTGAGTGGAATCTGTGCTGAGCTGAAATTTGGGTTTCACATAAGACAGGGGTGCTAGGCGGGACGCTAGAAACCCCAAAACATCACGCATACAGCGAGTGTGTAACGTTGCATTTTTTGCTTCATATCCTCTCCACTTGGCCTGCTCACCAGGCGTGCTGCCGGGGTTTGGTGCTATTCCCAGGCAAAGAGACAAAAGGAGGAGAGGAAGTGGGGCACCTCCCCTTGCCCTAGACTGTCCTGGGAGGGTTGCGACGTCAAGCACCGGTGCCCTACTTTTCCAAGAATACAGCCATTAATCTGGATATCGCTGCATGGGGGATGCTTTGGGGTTTATAGCGCATGTCAGATGCTTCTGCCACCTGGTTTTGTGAATGAAAAATTTTAGTTCAGCATATCTGCAATTTATTCTGCGATTACTAATAGACCTTTCGTTAAATCACCCTACCATCAAAACGCTTGCAGGGGTTTGTAATTACACACGCTGTGCGTGCTGCTGCAGTGGTATAATTTTAAAGCAAATATCTAGTAACAAAAGGAAAGGTGGATTTGTCACCATGTTATTTCACGATTTATGACACATATCAAGAGAGGATGCGCAGCACATGTAAATGCACTGCGTCCCTTGGTCCTGGTTAAATACCAAAAGGTCTATTCATAAAGATAGAAACTAATACATGTTCCATATATTCTCTATGTCTATGTTCATTTTGAGCAGCGATCAGAGTCAGTTAACCCCTGCATGCCCCCTTTAAACATCAAATAGCCTAGCGCACTTATATTTTACGAGTTTTTCACTAATTCGGTCTCTTTAAAGGGACAATAAAGGCGATTCAGAAGTTTTATTTGACGATCGAAATAAATTCCAGGCATATCCCAAACAACGTTGCCCGAATTTAGCCAGAACCGACACTTACGTACTGCACAAATCAATTAAATAGTCGCGCTAATAATTGGCCCCGGGGAGATGGCAGCGACACCCCGTAACGCGGGAAGTCGCTGAGGAAGAAGCAGGTATCGCATGACGTCACCCAGGACTTAAAACACGGCATCATGGGGGACATGTCACGCAATTGGTCAAAGTGAGATACATGCTTTCGGTTTTGTTTTCCATCGCAAGTTCTATAGAAAGAATATGTGTTTTGGAATTCGATAACTATCAAAAGTATAATTCGGGCCGGAAATGTTTACTAAACATAGAATAAATGAGTATAACTGGTTCCGTCGCAGAAGCAGGAGCTAACTCAATTAATCAGTGATGCCTAGGCCCACCCGAAAACAATGGCAATGGCACCCGGAAGGAAGCAAACAGTCTATGCCGGGCGGGTGGTAAAATGTACAGGTCGGCGGCGTAGGGCAGAATCCTGAATGTGTACGCAGCCTTAGGGGCAAGTAGGAGCACTGCAAGTAAGCATGAAGATGGCACCTTTCTCTTCTTTTTGATCCTTTAGTGAGATCTTTTAGCAGTGCAGGAAGTTCGTTGAGCGGTGGAAAGCATTCTGCCAGATTCAGTTAGGCCTAGTGAACTGTAGAAAAACTGCTGATTAAATTTACCGCCTGTTCAACAAGGTTGCTCCCTCAGCTTAATACACTAAAAATAAAGCAGATGGTGTCATTTCACTGTGTCCTTTACATTTTTTACTGCGCAACGCAGTTTCTCCAGGAAACGCATCTCGAGTCGACGACTGAGAGGTCGGCTGCTCCCCCGTAAACAGCGTCAGTCTCGCGTCGTTAGGATCACGGTAATCCTTCTCTCTTTACGTCAGTGCCAAATCGCTAATCGCTCGAGGGCTCGTTTGCGAGTGGGGAATCGACGGCCAATAACAGCGAACGGGCTACGCAGAACGCCATGCTCACCGCAGCAACCACACTCAACCTCTATTAAATGCTACCGAGACTGACTATTCAAAGTTAACGTCAATGCTGTCGTCACTTCCCTTTCCGGAGGTTTCACATAGATAGATCCATGCAGAAATGCACAGAGTTAGTTTCGGTTTCTTTATTTTATTCATAAACACAAAAATAGACGTTCTAAACGTTTATAAAAAACTGGGCAGTGTGCTAGGATCTAAAAGGTCAAAAGACACATTTTGTGGAAAAAGTTTGAAATTGCCTTCATTGTCCCTTTAAAGGACCCTCATGTCTGTAAAGAAACACGGAGCTTAAAACAGGCTAGGGGAAGGCATTGTGCCTTGCAGTGGCTGCCCCATGAATTGAGGATGGAGGGGGCCAACTTTTAGGCTACCATGCTACACTTATACTCATTCATACCTTCAAGCACAGAGTAGAGAGAATTGACGGCAATGAGCGCTTTCCTCTCTGCCGCCAGCACCTTGCTCTCTGCTGCTTCTGCTCGGGCTTCAAACAGCTTGCACTTCTCCTCGGCGTAGGCTGCCCTGGCCTCGGCCTCGGCTATCTTGGCCTTGGCCTCGGTCAGCTTGGCCTCAGCATCAGCTAGCTTGGCCTTGGTGTCCACTAGCTCTGCCTCGGCCTGAGCTTGGGTCGTCCTGCTCTCAGCTTGAGGATGTCTCAGCTCAGCAGCAGCGAAGCAAGGGCCCTGATCATCCATTCTGGGGTTCACCTGAAGCAGAAATCATTCTTGGATGTTTAAAACACCTAAAACTCTTCCACAATTTTTTTAAAGTAGTTTCGTGGACAAAAATCCTCAGTATGTGCAAGCGGCGGCTGAAACTTATTGCTGCACCATCTGTCAGTGGCTCGCCTGATTTTGAGACCACACCTGTATGCTATTGTGCTTGTAGGCATGTGTTCATGCACTCTTCTGTGACTCAGTTAATTCCTCAGAATACAGCGCAATGTGCCGCCTCAGCGGCGGCATTCGTGAGCATCTGAAAGAGATGCCACGAAAGGAGACAGCATTTGCGGTTTTGCAGCACATACTGCTGGTCAATAAGAAGTCTGGTTTCCGAATGCGGTGATTAAATGTTTTTCTTCATATCAGTTATTAAGGCACACTTTCTGACGTAGCAACAAGACGTGCCAATTTGAGTGAGCAGTATATCAGAACTACAGTCACGGCACCTCGTGTTACATCCTGAAGTAAACACCGCGTCAGAAAAGCGCCCAAGTGCTCTTCTGTGGTCTAAACCAGGCAACCAACCAGCAGATAGCTGCAGTCATGCTTTTCAGTCGCCGCTCTCGCGTCCTTGAAATTTTTGTCTGCGATAGTACACTGTCTCAGATTTATACAGATGCCTTCAAGAATACCCCTTTTTGACCAGTCAGAACCTTAGCAAGCAAGACTTTAGTAGCCTCAGGCCTGCACGGTCAGCTGAAAACTGGATCACATATCAGCAAAACTGGTGAATTACCTGTTGAAGGATCTCTAACCTTATCCGCTCCATAATACGGTCCTCAAAGGCCGCCGACTTGGCTTTTCCTGGCTTCTGAAATGCAAAAAAGTAATACCATAAAAGCTTTATTTTTGTTTAAAAAAAACGATTTAACAAAGAAATTGATTTCCCACGGATACTCACAGGGTTCACTTCAATTTTTTTAGGAACTCAGAATAATAAAAACTTTAATTGCCAGACCCATTCAATGAAGCATTCCAGAAAAAAAGTAGTTGAAAGATCAGCTAGCGAAGACTACTGTGTGTGAAATATCTCAGTTTATTGTTAACACATCCTGGTTTGGGTTTTTGCGGAACTGCACAGGACTGACTCATCATTCTGGGCCTTGAATCAATTATGCTAGATGGCACTAGAGCAGAAATTGTTTTAAGCTGCATATCCCTGTTGGAAAATCTCGATGATGGAAAGATGACGGAAAAGGCTCATACAAGCGTAACCGTAATATGGGACATCCTATACAAGCGAAAAAGGCGGCTCCAGTATAGTGGAATAAGGCGGAATGATACAGGTGGGCGGAACCATACAAGCGTGTCGTATTATGGGACATCCTATACCAGCGTAGCGGATATAGGCGGAACCATGTAGGCGGACGGAACCATACATGCATAACGTAATATGGGACATCCTATACCAGCGAAAAGGCGATACCAGCATGGTGGAGCCATATGGCTCCAGCGTGTTGGTTTCGCCTTTTCACTGTTGTACAGGGCGATTTAGTTTTAAGCTTTACATATATGTTTAGAAAGGTCGTGAAAGCTATATTAATGCGGTTTGTGCAGGCGAGTTATACGGCCAGGCGTACGTAGTATAGGGACCTAGTCGTAACGATCAGTCAGATAATTAAATACAATTTGTTAATCAACTTTTTAATTAGTGAAAATGAAAATATGGTTTCAATTAGAAACTTGCTGAGTCATTGAAAACCACAAAACCAAGTTTTTTTTAGAAGGATATAATTCAGGGGTAGCGTTTTATGCATTCTGTAAAAAGCTTTATTTGGACGAGTTTCTAGGTTTCAGTTTCTTATCAGAGCTCATCTCTGCGCCCACGGTCCTGTTCCCCAGGGGCATAGACACGCAACACACATGCGCCTTGCTTCCCTTCATCCTACAAGGGAGGCGAGGGGGCGGCTTCGCACTGCGGTCACCGGGCAGCTGGACCGCAGGTGCAAAGATGCGCTCTGGTAAGAAACCGAAGTCTGGAAATGCGTCCAAATTGACCATTTTTTTATAACGCCATAAAATGCTACTCGTCTTATATCTTTACAAAGAAAATTGATTTAGTGTGTTTTGATGATGCTTAGCAGGTTTCTAATTGGAACCATGGGTCTATTTTCACTGATTAAAATTTCACGAACATACTATACTTAGAGAGAGGCTGAAGCAGTTTTGTATTTGAGAAAACACTTTTAAATCTTCTTCATTCGACCTCCAGAATCTCAAATATCAAAATTATTTGCTAATTTAATTAATCAAGGCTGCATAGTCATTTTTAAAGCGCTGTGAAAGCACCTCCCTAGAGAGCGACGTCACAACAGCAGCTTTCAAAATCTTTGTTCACGCATCTTCACCGCCTATCAAAGCTATGCACGCACATGCTATTTTTTAAAAGGGCAGAAAAATGTGTCACGACTGGTGCCAGTGCCGAAGAATATACCTAGAAAACTTGCGATTGGACGCGCGGCCCTTAAGCGACACACGCTTGGCGGCCGAAAGGTCTTCTTACGATGTCACTGTTGGTGGGATGTTTTTTGTGTTTTCTCACGTTTAGTTATATCTTTGAGGAAAACGAACGGGATATTCAGATTCGCGGGATAAAACTACGCTAGAATGAACCTCCATCTAGTTTTCTGAAAGAAGTCTGGCACATCTCTGTAATAAGCCGACGGATCATTACAAATTAGCCTTTTATACTATGCCGCCCTGGCCATATAACTCACGTGCACAGACCGCGTAAATGTAGCTTTTACGGCTTTTTTTAAAAAAATCTGTAAAACATAGAAAAAAAACTCTGTAGAATGTCCCCCAATACGATACGATTGTATGGTTCCTTCCCCGCTTGCATTGTTCAAGAAAGACTTGTGGACATCCAGCGTTAACGCTGGATGTCCACAAGTCTTTCTCATTGGAATGCTGGATGTCAGCGAGTCTCTACATCAGTGAGTGGTTTCAAACAAGCATGATGTTTGCACACCAGTAAGCTCTTATCCGAGGCTCACCAGGACCACTAAGAGCAGAGGCGAAATGTCGTGACCTGGTAAATTTGGTTGCAGGTATTTATTTTTACAAGAACTGCATGCAGCAAAGCTTAACTTTGCTTAAAAGAAGATTATTAAAAATTCAATACTGAACAATGGTGTCCCTTGAGCTGTCAGACCAAACTCCCACTCTTGCCACTCAGGAGTTCCTAACTTGTGCGTAGAGGATCAGCACAACCCAGATTTGTGCTGCGAGCGCACCTGCAATATAAAAGTTGAATAAACATGAGATGAAATATGAGACGTTTACAATTCTATGTAACGTGAAATTAGAGCACAGATCTTGAAGAGGAGGATGGGAAGGTGTGCCCCTCCTCCCCCTCCCCTCCTCCTCTTCTGCTCCCTCCCATTTAGCAGGAAACTTCCCTGAATTTAGCGGGAAAATTTCCCCACTAAATTTAGCTGGTTAAGTTTCCCACTAAATTTAGCGCAGAAATTGATGTCACATGACCTCAACACAAATGCAGTTTTTCCGCTAAAAGTAGCAGGGAAAATGACGTCGCATGACCGTGTCACGTCAGCCATAAAAAAATTCAGTTTCTCAGCTAGACTTAGCGGAAATATTAACGTCACATGACCACAACATTAATTCAATTTCCTGCCAAGTTTAGTTGGGTGGTTACGCCGACAGCGACGCCGCGAAACGCGGAAACGGGTGCTAAGAGCTGCGCTAAAAACTAAATGCATCAGGTGAAATAAAGTGAACATTAGAGATACTGTAAGAAAAAGAAGAGAATCTAAGATACCGTTCTCAGATCCTTCCTTTTGTCCGTTCTCAAATGTTTTGATTTCAAGAAATGTTTATCTCTTTATTCATACCCAGAGAAACCCTCCCAGTTTCAGCATGAATGCAATAAATCAATGCAGACTAGACCTTGTAAACTATAATCCACATGAAAATTAATGTTTGCCACATAGTCATGTATGAGTCAGTGGCTCAGATCTCTAAATACATTTGTATTGAGGAACATTCTTGAATAAAACTTCTGGGCTTCGAATTCAACAGTTTGTACTTCCATAAGGAACACTGTATGGCACTGATTTTTTTTTTGTGACACATCAGAAACAGCACAGCACTGTCATCCTCGCATACCTAACAAGAATTTGTATTTTTTTTTAGCATGGCATGTGCTATTCTAATGCCCATACAGCATCCTTTAACAAAATTTCCTTTGTAGAGCTTTTTATTGGTTCTTATTTAGCTCGCACGACAGATTCGGTACCTTGAATTCTCACTCGGCATCAACAGTTTTATATATTAATGTAATAGCGAAAGACAAGATCTATGGACTTGAGTACGGCTCAGCAAGCACAGATGTTGAGAAAAGTACTGAAGAAAACTCAAATGTCAAAATAAAAATAAGCTGGAATGTGGAATTATGGACATGGACATGAATACAGTTAGCAGATTCAATATGAAGAATATGTGTTAGACGCACGCTCAAAGAAACCTGTTGCATCTATATTCATTCAAATTACTTTGCAGTACCCAGCGCTGCAGTCTCAGGTGGGAGTTCGCTGAATGAGTCTACTGAAAATGAGTGTAGACGGAAAAAGCAGTTTGATCTGCGATAATGAACATTACATAAGTGACATGTCATTATTACTGTTACAGAGCCGAATGTTCCAAACTGTCAGTCGCATCATTCTGTGAGTTCCCTCCGTACATTACAGGGTTTGGCTCTCTCGAATGCTTTGCGAGAAAAATGATGAACTGGAAATATCTAGAGTAGTTCTAGAAAAACTATTTCCAGAATCTTATCTCAGCATCGCAAAGAATACAAAAAAGTTTCTAAAGACAAGGTTAGTGCAGGAGTTGAATAAACTAAATACTTTGTTTTTCGAAACCATCTTGCCGTAGTAAACATATGAAGTTCCCCTAGGTAGAGCTAGTCATTACGGATGATTGTGCCCATTGCGTACCATAAAAATTTATTTTGCGACCTACAATATTTACAAACTCAATTAACTCTGAATAAGTGGACCACTTGGCATTAAAGATTGGCCTCACCATGACTGTCTGCCAACATCTACATAATAATTTCCATGAACCTATGTATTTCAAGAAAATATTTGGTGCAAGCTGCTTAAAACACAATAGCACTTTTTAGCAAGTGCTGATTGTTGGGCAAGTTGGTACGGTACGTTAGAAAACATGATTGTGCTTTGAAGACGGGGACATAGGAAGGACAGACACCACAGAGTGCTAACTTTCAACTGATTTAATTCAAGAACCTCGGCGTAGAAACACACTGCGTCACCGCACCACATCTCAACCAATCCGTGGCCCTGCCACGGACCGCAAGTACGCCAACTCCTTATCCGCCAAGTCAATTGACGCCACACTGACACAACACGTGCCGGAACTATTTATAGCATCAGCCTCCATAATCTCTCTAAGAGTCATATCTTTGTGCCTAGCAAGAACAGTAGACTGAGCAAATAATGGTTTGCACTCGCAGTCATGATCTGTCGTGTCACTGTCTGACTGCGGGTGCAAACCATTATTTGTTTCGTCTATTGTTCTTGAGAGGCACAAAGATAGGACTGTTAGCGAGATTATGGAGGCTGACACTATAAATAGTTCCGGCACAAGTTGTGTCAGTGTGGCGTCAATTGACTTGGCGGATAAGGATTTGGCGTACTTGCGGTCCATGGCAGGGCCACGGATTGGTTGAGATGTGGTGCGGTGACACAGTCCGTTTCTACGCTGAGGTTCTTGAATTAAATCAGTTGAAAGTTAGCGCTCTGTTGTGTCTGTCCTTCCTATGTCCCC